CTTTCAATCGTTATGAGTCTACCAATTAAATAGAATTTTCTTATAAACAATTGTTTTGTAAATGGAATTTTTAAAGCATTCTGAATGTAAAAATAAAGAAAAAAAGTGTACAATTAGAAACACTACCTGCCTAAAAAAGTGAAGTTTTGTTGAAATCGGTTGAAAAATGTAGGAAATCCGATCTAAAAGAACACACACACACACACAAACAACCTGGGTTTTATAATAAGTATAACTCGATATGAGATGTCCCCCTTTTATTCTCGACAGCTATGCGTCTTAATCGTGTTTTCAAATTGATTTCGCGCAATAACAATTGTCTTTTTCCAATTTTTGGCGTTGTCAGAACAACTGCAGGGTAATTTTACGTAGTCCTGTGAAGTTTTGTTGAAATCGGTTGAAAAATGAAGGAAATCCGATCCAATATATAAACGTACAGACACACACACACACACACACACACACACAAAACCTGGGTTTTTATAATACGTATGATTTAGTGTAACATACTGTTCGTCAATGAAAGGAATATTTCAAGATGAATATTCATTTATTGGGAAAAATATCTTACTTTCTTAGTGATTCGATTTCATGCCTGCGATTTAATACTGGAGAACTTCGGTTCCTCTAGACTTCCATTGTTTGAAAATCCATAGCCTGACAAATAACTCCCATCTCGATACAGGATTCGAATATATCAGATAAAGTCCTCGAATTCTATTTTGTAAAAACGCGTCAGAATCGTCCAAGACTATTCCAAAGTACTTCTTCACAGTACGCTGGTATCTTTTGAAAAGAAGAATGAAGAATCTTTTCTTCCCAGCTGCGCAAACAGATGATACTGTCATTCAGCATATCAAACATTCCAACAATTACTTTTCTTTATATCGATAAACATCAATTGATTAAAAACAATATTAAGCGTAGTATACTTAAGTGTATGTGTGTGTTCTTGTATATCGTTGCAGGCGTCATTTGTGCTAATGTCCATCTTAGACTGATAAAAAATATATGGACTGTTTCCAGTCTGATAATATATAATTATTACGAATAAGTTTTCGTATAAGCTGGATAATTGCAAAATGAAAGAATGGAGAATTTTTAAGCACTGTGTTGGCTGAAGAACACTAATCGGATTTTTTTCTCAATATAAAGACGTCTTCCTGGCATTTTTGTACCTTGAAGATTTAACAATATTTTTTCTAGATAAAAAGAAACAATAAACAGAATAATTATTTCCACTGGAACATGTAATCTGGAAAAAAATGTGAAAAGTGTATAAGGATTCTCTTTACTTTCTTCATTTTAAACGAATTTATATTTAGAGTCTGTCTATATTTCTGAGATGAGGTATTATGTACATTATTTGCATTATTCGGACTATTGTCCTCATCTTTGTCGCCATATTTGTCACAACGTTTCAGCCGGTGATTGGAATGTCGAACTGAACCCTTTCTTTCGCTCAATGGGGTAGACTGCTCTAGTTCCACGTGCCAAATAAAGGGTTCAGTTCGACATTCCAACCACCTGAAGAAGGCGGAAGCGTACAACGGCCGAAACGTTGTGATAAATATGGTGAGAAAGCTGAGGACAATAGTCTGAATAATGTAAATAATGTTATATTTAGAGCTTTTACATTAGTTGCTGTTAGGATTCACAAGGGAAAATATGTTAAAGGGGAAGTTAAAGAGACAATATAAGATGCATATATGGAATCAGGTTAAGTATGCAAATAGCCAGAAAATTCTTTTCATCAAATTGTTTTTATTAAAGAAAAGCAATATTTAAACTCACTCTGTTGAAAGCAACAATAAAACGAAATAACGTATTATTATTATTATTATTATTATTATTATTATTATTCCTTTGATTTTGGGTGTGTACACATTTTTTCCGGGTCCTGCCTAGTGAGCTAAGTTTAAAAATGGCATCATGATATTTTCCACTTCGTAAACTATGGGCTGTACTCGTAAGAACAATATTTTCTATTTCTTTAAGGCATGGACTTCCAGGAATCCCTTCAATTTATTATTATTATTATTATTATTATTATTATTATTTTACACAGAAGAGAAATAATTATGAAAAATAAAAGTACAAAATCTTAATTGTGTGACTACTGGAGAATGTATATATCCTCTGGCTCGATTTGATCATAAATGATGTTGAAATATTATATATATATATATATATATATATATAAAAGAAAGAGGTTGTAGTGGTTTCAACGAGAGAAAAGTATGTATATTAAAAAGAAGAGAAGAGAGGTGCTGCAAACGTTTTTGGTTGTAATGTGGATTTATTTAGAAAAAAATATTATTCTTTGTTTTACATAGTGTGGGTGTAGTGTGTGTATGTGTAGTGTAGCCCTAACCACAGATCTTGGCAGAATATAATTTGCCCTCGTTTTAAACCAGGTGCAGGCTTGAAACGAGAGGTAGCATTTTCGCCACCAATTTAAAGAGTTATGTAATTGGCCCAGGTGTACGTTAGATCTTAAAGTGGGAAAAATGGTTTCAGAGTTAAATATAAACACGAGCCCAAGGGAAGAAAAACATTTAAACATCACACACGAGTGTATAAGCACCCTCTTATCGGATGACACGCCCAAGTCTCATTCCCGCCACCTCGCCATCAAGTTAAAACCAGTCTGATTGGCCTAGTTGCACATGAGATTCGAAAGTGGGTAAACCGTTTCCGAGTTGTATATACACACGCATCTTATGGTAAAGAAATTCCATAGATATCGCAACCAAGGGTATAAGCTCTCTCGTATCTGATGATATCTCACGCAGACGCACACAAACATAATACAAACAAAAAAAACAAAACACAAACACACAAACACAAACATATAATAATCGGGCGTAAGTCTGGAGTTGAATAAATCGTAATATTACGTATGAGTGACTTGGTATTGTGTTTATATTATTAGTCAACGCGACAGTAATGTCACCTTTGTACAGATATTGATTTATAAATGAAATATTTCGAAAGTATCTGCGTCATATTTTCGAAGGCGCTACCCAGATATCAATTTCCAATATAGATAGAGTTCAAAAGCGTCTCCAAGTATTTTTGGGGGACGCATTATTTTCCACCCTCCAACCTCTCTCTCTGTCTCACAGGCGTGATGTGAGAAGCCGCTTGCTGCTCAGTCGCTAACTCCATGGTAAGAACTCCGACGAACTACATCCCTTGGTTCCGTCAGGTCTAACCCTCTTGGCCAGAAACGGACATGCCACTTATATTGTAAAAAAAAAAAAAAAACATCCACATTCCCTCCATATTTTCATCGGAGAGAAGAGAGTTCAACTCGAACTGCTTCTTCCCGCGAGCCACTGCCAAGAGGATGTTTTCCCGACGTTACATTCTTAATATGTTCATGGCTAGGGTAAACTGTTATATATCTCTTCTATCCATAAAAAAACATTTCCTTTAAACCTAGCCATCTGCGGAGACTGTCCTTGTAGAGGATGAAACCTGCTGTAAAAACAATAAAGGAAAAGGTGAGAACAATTTATTCAGAAGATTAGTATGGACATAATATTTGTTTGATTCCTATTTTGAAATTGTAAAATAATGCAACATATTGTTAGTCTTGTATCTTCCGTTTGAAAAAAAAAGCCACAATTTAAAAAGTGTACACCAACAAATTCTAAACCCAAGATTTAATCAAAGCAGACCGATGTACATATCGACCCAACCAAATATCTGAATAATAATTACAACACAATTTTAAGGCTCAGTATTTAGATTAGGAGGTTTATATATATATATATATATATATATATATATATATATATATATATATATATATATATATATATATATATATAAGCATTTTTAAAAATCGGGTTCCTTATAGTTTCTGCGTAACATGATATCTACGAAGGTAAGAGTGTTGTTGATTTCAGTTTCAAAAAAATGAATTCTAATTTATGAACAGCATTGAACCTACAAATAGACTTCACTTTTGGCCACTGAAACATATATATATATATATATATATATATATATATATATATATATATATATATATATATATATATATATATATGAGTAATATAAAAATGGCACATATAATAGACGTAGCATATCTGGCCGACCGTTAAAAACTACCGACAGGGAAGATAGAAACTTGGTTCGTCAATGCAAAAAAGATCGACTGCCAACAGCACAAGGTGGTTCCAAATTGACTAGTTTGACGGTTTCTTCAAGAACAGTCAGACACTAGCATAAATCAAAAGGCATTGTTTCCAAATATATATATATAAAAAAAAAGTTTCGTACCTTGAAAAAATCGACGGGGACGATTGGCTTGGTGCAAAGCTCATTTACAATGGACTAAATCTGATTGGGAGTGACGTGAACCATTTTAATCTTAGATATGAAGGACGAATACGTGTTTGGTGCAAGCCAGCCTAAAGAATACCCCACTGATTACCAAGGGAAGTGTTATACACGCTAGAAAAATCAACGTCATCAATACATACATATACATATATATATATATATATATATATATATATATATATATATATATATATATATATATATATATATATATATTGGGCAGAACTCGCCACACTATTTGAAGTGCCGAAAACAGAGACTTGGTGCTATACGTGCCTGAAGATCCCAAAACCCTCCATATATATATATTTTATATATTATATATATATATATATATATATATATATATATATATATATATCCAGAAACATGATAATTCTACTTTTAAAAAAATGGTCTTATTCTTATTCTTACTCTGAAATGAGAAAAAAATGTAATAAAGGTTAATAAACAAATGAAAGGAAAATCATTCATTGTTTCTGCATAAAATATCAAAAGTGTTTACAAACATTTTTACGCACATTAGAAAATTATTTCATTAGAAATTAAAAGGAAAAATACTGTTTTTGCTTCAGCTTTAGGCGCCAATATCTTCTAAATAATTCGTTATATCTTTATAACCTGGAACAATATATTTCCTGCTTACAGCAATATCACGTTGAAACACCGGTTTCTGTACGATCACCAAGTTTAGCAACGTTGAGCCTGGTCAGTACTTAGATGAGTGACCGCTTGGGAATAGCAGGTGCTTTATGATTGGATGGATGTGTAGTCTAATGGATAACCTCTCGGAATTGGACATCGGAGAACCGGGTTCCAATTCCAGTCGTGTTCATTATATTCAATTACGCGCAAATGCCATTTGAAAATGTAGGAATCCAGCACTTCTCCCCCTAGCTATGTGTTAATTAGTAAGACTTGTATCACTAAGTCATTATTATCACAAAATATTGATTCTTACAATGTACGACTATTTTCTGATTTTAAATAGCCTGCATAAGCCGTTGAAAAGGAATCAATCAAGCAAGACTCCATTTCCTGAATATTTGTGCGTTCAATACGCACAAATATTCAGGAAATGGAAATAAATAACAAACGCCAAGAATGAATATAGGAAACTAATTTATTAATGTAATAATACAAACTAGTAATGCAGGTTAGTAGTTCCAGGAATACGGGTTAGTAGCAAAATATATATACAGTCTTTGGTATTGAAGTATCGCTGTATGACTTCTTACTGAGTCTACGTGCTCGCTTACGGTGACTCTTGCTGTCTACGTACGTTCTGTCTGTCTGTCTGTTACCTTCAGGTTCTTGATAAAGGTTAGTTGATATTGTTTTAATATTTAAACTTTAATAAAAGCCTTATTATTTTACTTAATTTTGCCAATAACCACAAAGCCGTATATTAAAATTCTAGAAACAAGAATTTATTCCGTTATCATCAAAATTGTACATTAATTATATTCACATAAATAATATCTGATGTCTAACAACTATCTCAGTACTATATAACTCTCTTCTTTATTCCGTCTTAAATAAGGCCATACGTATTATATATGATTTCTCATCTTCCATATATTCTATATACTTTCAGACATTTTGGGATCTTCTCCCAAAAATCAAAGGAATGATGGAAATTAATAATCTTAAACATCATATAACATAAGGTCTTGTCAAATATTCATGTTTGTTCTTCTTCTTAACTTACTAAAATGATTTGGCATTTTATCTTCTGGGAATAATTATGTAAAAAGTGGTAAATTCATGTGTGTATATAAAAAGGATCTCGTTACTGAGGTGAATTTAATTTTCGATTGAAATATTGAAAAAATAAATAAATAAGAGAAGAGATTCTTCTTAGATTGTAGCAGTAAAATTGTTTGTTTGGTTTTTATGTTACACTTAGCTGATACGTAATACGAAGTCCAGTAGAGAGAAGCGAGACATCTTTTCCCTACGACATCCTCTGAGTAACGATTGGCTTGGTGCAAAGCTCATTTACACTGGACTAAATCTGATTGGGAGTTACGTGAACCATTTTACTCTTAGATATGAAAGACGAATACGTGTTTGGTGCAAGCCAGCTTAAAGAATACTCGACTGATTACCAAGGGATGTGTTATACACGCTAGAACCATCAACGTCATCAATACATACATACATACATACATATATATATATATATATATATATATATATATATATATATATATATATATATAATAGTGTGGTTAGTTCTGCCCAAATCCTTCACCAACTCAAAAGTTCTGGTGTCAGGCTGTCGGGGCTTAGGGACTGAGCAGCTTGAATATCATACATCTGGAGAGTCCACTATATATATATATATATATATATATATATATATATATATATATATATATATATATATAAAATATTTATATTTATGTATGTAATATATATATAAAATGAGATATATAGTGAGTTTTTCCTTATATATATATATACCCATAAAAATATATATATATGCTAAACTATATATATTTTATATATGTTTATCCATGAATATATATACATATTTCAGAATAATATATATTTAGTCAGCTGTATAGTATGTGCTATGGCAGGGCTTCACGTGGTTTGAAATTCAGAATGTTCCTTCTCCATGACCGGTTTCTAAGCAAGTCTGAGATGTCAGCCCACGCTACTATTTAAGAAGCGATTATTTCATACAATCAGATAACAGTCGTTCTACAAAATATATTCTTCTTGACTAAATTCACTTCTAAGAAGTCCAGAGAGAAGGGTTATGTCCATAATGTCCATCTTTTTACCCTTCGACATCCTCTGAGTTTGAACAGGGCCAAGGAAAAAAAATGAGATATTTTTTTTTACAGTTTGTAGTGACTTGTTCATGAGTTTTTTTTATCTTACCGAAATGTAATTGATGATCAGCGTTTGGCCGAATATTACTACTTTCCATGAAATCAAAATGATGGTTTAGTATCATCAACTTCTTTTTGGAATTGACGTCTTTCATTTCATTCATTGTCCAAACTTTGTAAGGTCTTTTGACTATTCTTTTATATCTGTATGTTTTGGACAAAAATCACAGAGTTTGAATATAGTTTCTAAGTACAGCTTTAAAACGTTTTTCATGGAAAATATGAGATCAAACCTTTATTTGGGTAGTACAGAAAATTACATATTATAGAGCAAAGGGAGGAGTGATAAAAAAGCAAATAGAATAAAAAGAATTAAATCATTCTAGTATTATTTAAACATAACATCCAATGTTAAATTATATCGAGTATCAATTAATACTGATTATCTGCTCTCGGTACAAATTTAGGAAAAAACATATCACCGATAAGTTGTGCTAATGTGTTGTGGCCGTTATGACGAAGATGGTTTGAAATTCTTTCAGAGTTCCACTGTAGCCGTACGGTTACATTTTATTATTATTATTGTCATCATCATCATGATTCGATTTTCTATGGACACACTAGCAAGTCTGCGGAAAGTCTGAGATGCCACATTTCAGTTAATTTTTTATTTTTTTTTTTTTTCCCACGCGTTACTATTTAATTTTCTGTATGTCTCTTAAGCTGGGGTTTCAGGGATTATGTGTTGTTTTGTTCCATTTTTTCATACAATCATTCTTGATAATTTCCAGTCTTTTATTTTGATAGTTTTCAAAAACAATCCGCTGGACAAGCCATATCAATTAGTAGGCAAGTTTTTTCTTTTGGACAATAAATTTCAATTTTTTCCTGTGTGGATGGTATAAAAATATGACATCTTTTTAACTGTTGGCAACATTTTTGGAATTGTCAGTGTAAGTATTACAGTCTATCGTGACGATTTTTTATATTATTTGTCCATTAATGGTCCGTATTTTTGCATTTTACCACTTCAGATTATGATTCATACGAGGTAACAAAGTCAGGTTTGAACCAGGGCCAATGGAAAAATTGGGTTTATTTGCACGTTCTGGAATGAATAGAAACAGTGTTATTTTTTTTGCAATAGTTGGTTCTTGCCGCCGAGTTTGTAGTTTGATTTACTGCCTTCTTTTATTATTGAATTCATATGTTGTTTCACTAATTTTTTGTCATTTTAGTTTCCGCCAAATTCAATTCACAATACCTTCTTTCAACGTCTCGAAATGTAATTGATGAATCATTTGCGTTTGGTCCAGAAATGTTGAAACTATAAACCCTGGGATTGTTCACGATCCCTTTCAAATCAAATATTAAATCAACATGATCTTGACATTGGATTGCACTAGACTCATCAACTTCTGTCTTGGTGGAATTGACGTTCATTCTTTCATTTAAAACTGTAGCTTTAGCGATTTCAAACGAATTTATCGACAACCATTCGTCCATGGACCCAATTTTAAGTCATTTGGAAAGAAGACTATTTTGGGTTCTTTTGCTATAATGATTCAAAATTTAAATCGTATTCCGTTCCACTTATAGTTCCATTTTTATGATTGAGGTAAAGTGTAGTTTTTTCGACATACATTGTTTGATGATTCAGGTGTGGACAAAAGGTACACTAGAGATAATCTATTTGGAAAAGCAGTTTTCCATTTCATCCATCTATATTGGTCTTCCGTAAGTTTGCACAGTTTCTTTAAAACGTTTTTTAAAATGGAAAATGTTGGAGATCAAAGTTTTTATTTGGGTAGTACAGAAAATTACATATTATAGAGCAAAGGAGGAGTGATTTAAAAAAAGCAAATAGAATAAAAGCTTTTTTTTAAATCATTCTAGTATTATTTAAACATTTTATTCATCCAATGTTAAATTGCCTCTTCGTTGTGTTCTTTATCGAGTATTTTTCCCCAGAATTAACTTCTTCCATTTTAGGGGACTGTCACTTCAATCTTTGTTTACCTATTTCCTGTAAAATTTCTTTGGTTACAAATCTAGGAAAAACATATCACCGATAAGTTTAGACTGAAATTTTCTTTCGACTCTTCTGCCTTTTCTAGTTCTTAATTTGTTCTTGCTAGTTCATCGAGTACGAAGATGAACGTTCAATTTCTTTTTCTATTTTTTTTATGGAAAAGAGACTGCCTTTTTTTTACTTTGATGTTCAGTTTATTTGTTGCTGCTGTATATGCATTCTTCTCAATTTTCATGAATATTAATAAAGTTTTGAGGTTACTTTGTTGGTTGTAATTTTGGGAGTTGTTCTCGTTCCTCCCAATATTCTGTATCTGACTTATATGTGATTTCATCCTTGGCTTCTTGTATATTAATCTTGTTTTTATTATTATTATTATTATTATTATTATTATTTTTTATTATTATTATTATTTTCTTTGATTTTTGGAGTTTACACATTTCATTCCTGGTCCCGCCCAGGGACCTTAGGTTAGAAATGGCGTCATGACACTTTCCACTGACAAAAATAAAAAAATTAAAAACAATAAAATAAAATAAAAGAATTAAATTACATAGATAAAGCCCTTCGTCCTTTATCATTATTATTATTATTATTATTATTATTAATTCCAATCCCCCTTTTTTTTCAACTGACCCTTCCTAATTTTAAGCATAAAGGTCGTTTTGGTTTGAATTTCTCTAAAATTCGGCGTTGCTCCTATTTTCTGTTCATGTTATCGTAGCCATCCTTCTGTACAAGCCTAATGCTTTTGCTTCATGACACTTCTTCCCTTGTGAGGCAAATGTCGAGAATTCACTGCCATATATGAGAACTGATAAAGCATATTACGTAATAGTCCAATGCACATAAAACATCTTTTGTATTTGCCC